GGCACACAATTCTATCCAAATATTTTATTTTCTCATCTGATTTTATATACAAGCTAAAACAAAGGGACAAATACCACATAAAATTTAAGGACAGCATGCCATTTATGGCTGTAAATACTCATGAGGTCACAAATAAGAAAGAGATTTTTCATCATTTGTATTAGGTGGACCTTAAGGATTGCAACCTGCATTTAAGCTGCTGCCTGAATATGTGCAGATGGATCATACTGCTTCAAGTAACCTGAAAAGAGTCAAGAGCCTTCCTCTGGGAGTTTCTGCTGATTGCCAGCAAGGTTGGTTGCATGGGTTGTAAGAAATAAGCCATGAGGTCATTATTCTTGTGCTGCCTGCTGTCAACACTCCCACTGTGCAAACAGGGGTGCGTTAAACACTACAGTTGCCTGTGGCTTATCTTCTATTCGGCCACCCTAAGCATTGGAGCAAAATCCTGGAACTCCAGAAAGAGAATTCACCCTGTCACCCTGCAAGCCCATATGCCTTTCAGGGTCATAAATGGACAGAACACTGAACAACTTTCAGGAGGAGAATTGGAAATGTCAAGATGGAGTGAAAACAAGCAAACAAAAGGAAACACAGAGGTTGCAAGGCCATGGCCTAGTTCCATGGAAAGCTCGCATACATTAACTTCCTGGCTAAAGCCAGCCAGCTGTGAATACTCATTGCTACCTACAAGATTCAGTTTTTGGCAGTTGCTGAAATTATAGCATTTGTGATGGTGTGATTCAGGCAGTGGCCACTTACCACTGATTTATCATGGAGAAGAAGAGAACCTACACTAGCTTTTCAAGCAACTGCTTGCAAAGCCATGGGCAAGTTGGAAATGATTCTGCTAATTTTGTTTCATATGCAGTATGAAAGGCTCACTCAGGAAAGGAGAGTTGTCATTTAAAAATTAGCCTGTAGAAAGAGACTCTGAAGGCCAAAATGTACATTAACAAGGTGATTATGTGCCATAGTGTTCTTCCTCAATAAACAGCAGCTGTCTTTCATCTTATGCAAAACACTTAGTGTCTTGAAGCCCTGCATGAATAATTATGATCTTAAGGTGCAAGCCAATTCCTTGGAAATAATGGTTACTACTCTTGAGTAACAAAACACATTTGAAGTCTAAGTAGTTTAGTAGCCATCTTCTTTTCTGTCCCAGAGGCACAGACTTCAGAAATAGTATTCTCATAAAAGAATGAGGCATTTTGGTCTTATTCGAAATGCTTTTCCACTAACCTACATGTTATACCACCTGTGGAACATTTCTACTTAACTGAACAGTGTTTGAATCAAAATCCAAATAGGAATAACTAACCAGAGAAGAAAAATGAATTTTGGGATCAAGTTTAAATAATGAACTGGTTTTTTGCTATAAAGATGCTTTTTATGCTAAAATTGTTGAGAATTAGACAACCATGTTGCTCTTAGCCAAGTTCACAGCCAAATGAAGGCATCAAGCAGAAACTTAGTATTATTGAAGATATCAGTTTGGTGCTTCCATCTCTGGAATACATGCCCTTTAACTTCAGTATTGTAACATTACAAATTGTAACATTAATTGGTATTTTAACTGAAACTCAAAGTAACAGCCTTTCAAAGTTGCAATTAAAAACACACTGCTGGTTGTGAAAGATTTTTTTTCCTGACAGCAAGAAGTTGGCTTCTTTGCCCAGAAAAAGAAGCTATGACTTTGCTAATTCTGAAAATATTTCCATCATTTAAAGAGCTCACTTCTGTAGTTCACAATGGAATAAATGCAACTAACTTATTACGAAAAGGAGGCCAAAGTATCCTCCTTACCCCAGAATTGCAGGGGAAATACCCAGCTGACACACCACATTCAGTTAGCAACAGAGATAGCTCAATCAATACCCTTCAAGTGTAGCATTTCTGTTGAAGGGGTCTTATGTTGGCATTTTTAGGAATCTGTAAACAGAAAACATTCATTGCTTCCCATTACTTCATACTCCAGTTATTTTTTAATGTGCAGAATTTCTTGAAATCAGATCACAGGTGGATTGTTTTTCATATGGTCTCAAATACCAAATAGACTGTCTCAACTCAGCAACAAAGAGCTCATTCAGTCCTCAGACATAAAAGTACTGCTCTCCATAGTTGGCACTCTTAGGAAAAATGTCATATACTAAGGGTCTTGTGCCTTTTGTGTAGATTATCTCCAAGAAGCAAACCTCCCTTTCCACCCACTGGCAATTAAGATTGTCGGCATCAAAAACAACTATCTAAAAGAAAACGGGTGGGATGTTGCTCCTTTTATTTTTTCCTTCAATGAATCAATGAATTTTCTGGATGATGATAAAAGAATACCGTTCAAAGAAGTTGGGGAAGTGAGATTTTCCAAGGCATAAATGATAGCCAGGCAGCCAGAATCACATTAAAGGCAATCAACAGATTTCATTGGAGAAAAGCCAGATAATACCTAGTTCTCTACTTAGACCTAGTGATAAAACCAGAATATTTTTATAGACCTTTCTCACAGTAAAGGCCCACAGCTTTGAAAACCCGTATTTTATCTTTTCCTCTTCATGGATCACTGACTTGCCATGATGAAGGACTTGGGTAGCAGAATGAATCAGACAGGTCATAGCAGACAGCTCTGACAGAAGGTGATCCACTGGAGAAGGGAATGGCAATCTACTCCAGTATCCTTGCCATGAAAAACCCCATGGACAGTATCAAAAGGCTAAAATATATGATGCCAGAAGATGAGCCTCTGAGGTCAGAAGGTGTACAGTGTGCTACTGGGGAAGAGGGGAGGGCAAATGCAAGTAGTGCCAGAAATACTGAAGTGAGAGGGTCAAAGCCAAAAGGACACTCAGTTGCAGATATACAGTGGTACCTTGGCTCATGAACTTAATCCATTCCAGGACTCTGGCTGTGACCCAAATTGGTCGTGAGCCAAGTTAAATTTCCCCATAAGGTTCAATGTAAATAAGGTTAATCCATTCTGTAACCATTTTTTTAATCAGAAAAATGTGAAGCAAAGTGACAACAACAAAGATCGCGGCCATCCTCCCCCCAAGCATAAGCGCGGCCATCTCCTTGCCCCCCCCCCCAGCATGACCAAGATTACGCCTGTCATCCCTGCATGTGCCCGTCACCCCAGCGCATGGGGGGGGGGAGATAGGCGTGAACAGGGCGCACTGGGGGAGGGAGAGACAGGCACGATCTCAGCCATCCCCCCCGCCCCCAGCACAATCGCGGTCATCTCCCCACTTGGGGGGGGGGGGGGAGATGGCCGCGATCATGCTGGTTGGGGGGGAGATGGCCGAGATTGCGCCTGTCTTTCCTTCAGGAGCACGCCCCTGATCACGCACATCTTCCCTGCATGAATGCAACTGCGATCATGGCCATCTCCCCACTGGGGGATGGGGTGGGGAGATGGCTGCGATCTTGGTTGCCACCCAATGGGGAGTTTGTAACCCATGTCAAAATTTTCATGAAATTTTTGTTCGAGACCCGATTTGGTCGTGAACCAAGGCATTCGTAAGCTGAGGTACCACTGTATCTGGTGGTGAAAGGAAAGTCCAATGATGTAAAGAACAATATTGCATAGGATCCTGGAATGTAAGATCTATGAATCAAGGTAAGCTGAATGCGGTCGAACATGAGATGGCAAGACTGAACATTAACATCTTGGGAATCACTTAACTAAAACAGAGAGGAATAGGAGAATTTAATTCAGATGCCATGATGCTCAAAATCCTACAAGCTAAGCTCCAGCAGTATGAGGACTGAGAACTACCAGAAGTAGAAGCTGGGTTTCAAAGAGGCAGAGGAACTAGAAAACAAATTGCCAAGAATCACTAGATATGGTGAAAGCTAGGGAGTTCTAGAAAAACATCTGCTTCACTGACTATGCTAAAGCCTTTGATTGTGTGAATCACAACAAATTGTGCCAAGTTCTTAAAGAGATGGGAGTACCAGACCATCTTATCTCCTGAGAAGCCTGTACGTGGGTCAAGAAGCAACAGTTAGAACTAGACATGGAACAACTGATTGGTTCAAAATTGAGAAAGGAGTTTGGCAAGGCTGTATACTGTCGCTCTGCCTATTTAACTTATGTGCAGAGCACATCATGAGAAAGGCGGGGCTAGATGAATCACCAGTTGGAATTAAGATTGCTGGGAGAAATAGCAACAACCTCAGATATGCAGATGATATGGAACTAAAGAGCCCCTTGATGTGGGTGAAAGAGGAGAGTGCAAAAGTTGGCTTGAAACTCAACATTAAGAAAACTAAGATCGTGGCATCTGGTCATATCACTTCCTGGCAAATTGAAGGGGAAGAAAAGGAAGTAGTGACAGATTTTCTTGGGCTTCAAGATCACCACAGACAGTGACTGCAGCCAAGAAATCAAAAGACCCTTGCTCCTTGGGAGGAAAGCTATGGCAAATCTAGACAGCATACTAAAAAGCAGAGACATCACTCTTCCAACGAAAGTGCGTATAGTCAAGGCTATGGTTTTCCCAGTTGCAATGTATGGCTGTGAAAGCTGGACCATAAGGAAGGCTGAGCGCCGAAGGATTGAATTGTGGCGTTGGAGAAGACTCCTGAGAGTCTCTTAGACTGCAAGGAGATCAAATCAGTCAATCCTAAATGAAATCAGTCCTGACTGCTCTTTAGAAGGACAGATCCTGAAGATCAAACTCAAATACTTTGGCCACCTAATGAGAAGGAAGGACTCCCTGGAGAAGACCCTGATGCTGGGAACGATTGATGGCAAAGGAGAAGGGGGACAACAGCTGTTGAAGTGGCTGGATGGATTCCCTGGTCCAGTGGGCATGGGTGAACTCCGGGAGGCAGTGGAGTACAGGAGAGCCTGGCGTGCTGTGGTCCATGGGGGTGTGAAGAGTTGGGCACGACTTGGCAACTGAGCAACAACAATTGTATCTTTTGTGCCTTTGGAAATCTCACTAGCCAAGATATTTAGCTTATATGAATCCTACCAATTTGAAACAAAGATGGACGTGAACTTCATTTTCCAATTTATTTTTAGTCTCTGATCACTTTCCCCCACCCATTCCCTCCCAAAAATGTGGTATAAAGTTGAGGCACAAGTGGTTAAGGGTGAGACTTGACATGATCTGATCCAGCAGCTGCTTCTTGTACAGGTATGTTTCCTGGTGGTAAATGCTGACTGTTTCCTGCTGGATGATTTTGAGTATTTGCAACTGGTTGTACTCCAGCTGTAACATAAAACATAAACTCTGTTTAAAAAATTGCATACATCTGCTTTTACTTCAATTATATTCTGAAAAATGCATTGGAGGAACGGTACACACAACATGATACAGTGAGCGTATTCCTGTTGTCGAATATGGAAAGTGCAGCAAGAGTTAGGGTGCATGCAAGCACATTCCTTGATCTAGCATTGCTTCAGTGGCTGTTGTGGGCAGGAGTGCCTCCGTTCAGCATTGGCTGGAGCACTGGTGCACTCTCTCCTGGAAAAGGTAAATCTAGCCATAGAGATGCATACTGTAGTTGCTTCCCATGTTGATTGCTGCTTCCTGTTCTATGTGAAGAATGTTTAGGAAATTAAACTAGCACAAAACACTGCAGCCAGTTTGATTTCCCATATGCCTTTTATAGACTATTTTATATCAGATTTGTTTTCAGATCTAGTTCGAGGTGCTGCTTCCCTGTAAAGCTAGAAATGGCTTAGAGAGATTTAAGTGCCACTCTTTTTGTTTTAAAATAGCTTTGTTTTAATTGAGCTGATTGTTTAAATTTGTTTCAATGTTGTTCATTCCATAAATAGATTTATAAATAAATAAATAAATAAATATGTCATTTGAGCGGTGAGCATGCTGCAGCATCACACGTTTTCATCAGAATTACAACCTTCCTTTGCAAATCAAGGTAAGATTTTTCCCCCCTTTCTGGCAGAATTCAGTTACAAACAAGTCAGACTTACTTGTCCCTGTGACAATCACAAAACTAATTATCTCTCCCCTAGTCAAGTAGCATTTCAAATAAAGAAAATGTGGTCCATTATTTTTAATGGAGCTGAAGTAACATTGAATAATGTATGTGTGTTAGAGGCATTAAAAAAAAGCTGAAAACCTGGTTTAATTGATTGATTGATTGATTTCCATGGCTTTATAAGGCATCCTATAATAAAATGTAAAACAAGAGAATAGGAAAAAAAAAATCGCCAAAATATAAGAAAATATAAGACCAATTAAAAATTGATGGAAATTTTAAAAAGGTTGATAATTGTTAAAAAAAAAAGCTTTAAAGAACAAATTTCTTATTCATGCTTTACGTAAGACATTATAGCTTCATTTTCAATAGTATTGAATTGCTTTATTATTCTGGAAATGCAATTTTTTGTGTCTCACATGTACATACACAAGGTTACTCAAATAATCTTGCCCTTTTTTTTACTTTACTATTGCTGAGACATTTTTGGAATTTGTATAAAGTTTTTTTTCCATTGCATGCTTAAGTCTTATGAGGTCCCTCTTTTGAATTGTTTGACAAGGGAAGTGTATGGGAAGAAACCAGTCTTCAGCTTCCCAATATTAACTCTATTTACAGCAGAATATCCAGTGCCAAACTACTGACCTGGCTTTTTAACACAGTGTGAATATTAGTTTACTCATGAGTAACAAACATAATCACTACCATAAACTGTAATACTCAGGAATGACCATCCAGTGACTTGCTCTTTTCATGTACAAATGCATCTCATTAGTAAAATAACAAGTTACTTTTTCAAGGGCAAAATTTTCCAAAGAACCCAACAGCTTTCCCTGGCCAACACTGTCAAGCTTAGGATGCTGGTGGATATCCACCTGCAGAAAATAGTTCTCTTCGGCCCACTGTGGTAAATAGTTGCCTATTCCTTTGTTCTTTTAAGGAACACTTTGCCATGAAGTAAGAGCAGTGCCTGTGTGTGTTATGAGGAAAGTTTGAAGAGGAAACGTGCGCAGTGGAGGTGAGAGAATAATTTACTTACGTGGTTCAAATTTCAGTTCTCCGTTGGGTCCTGAGGGAGGATGTCCTTGTTGTAATTTCTTCTTTTCCATTTGTTGAACAGCCTGTTGGAATGCAATAGGAAATATGTAAACCAAGGTGTATCAGAATTTTATTTCATATGATAGAACTGGATGGGAACATACACAAATTTTGCTATATCTCAGTTGTGGTTCTGGCAATATACCTTTCTAGCCTAGGAGGACAACCACAAGTTTCAGGTAACCCAACAAAAATCAGTGGCGCTTCTGCTCTCATATAACTGAGCAAGAAAGGATGCTCAATGATCCCAGCAAGAAGCCATTGCAAATAGCCCAAATATTGTACAAAGGCAGTACCCCACCAAGGAAAATTAAAAAGAAAAACATGGAATTTTAGTAAAAGCATACAGTTCAGCCTTTGCTTACTGCTCTTTTAAATAGATGTTATTTCACATTTAAAGAGGATGGTTACAGATGAGGATCTTATGGCATCATCATCCTGACTCCTGCAAGGAAGCTGCCTTGTTCCATGCCATATTGAAAATGGCAGACAGGAAGGAGGGTTGCAGTGAGCAAGCCCACTCTCAGCAGAATGGGGTGGCCAGGCACAATGTCTCTGCCAACTCCCCCCCCCCCACAAGAAGGCACTCTGGGGCAGCTGTCACTGGGGCCACATAACAAGACCAGCAAGGTTTTTAGGTTCCAATGACATAGCAGGCCCAATGGTAACTACTAATCCCTATGAGCCATAGCCTGTCAGGGTAGTTTATACACCCAGATTCTGGGTTTGTACACCATCCTCAAAAAACCATGGCAGGTTCGCATAACACCACAAGCCCTTTGGGCTTTTATGCCAGAGGGATTTGTGGTGTCACATGAACCAAATCAATGCCCTCTGGTTTGTAGTGCAAGGAACCCTCTGGTCTGGTTGATTTTTTTCACTGGGACACTTAAATAGTAAGGTGTACATTATCCCAAGCCTGACCATCTAGCACAGCATTATTTATCAACTGGCAGTCTGTCCCGGGTCTAAGAAGACATTTTCTTCTTCAAGAAAGTTTCAAAGACATGGTACCTATCATTCTTTTCATCTGAGAAGCAGGAACTGAACCTTCTGCATGCAAACCAGGTGCTGATTCATGGAGACAAGGACATTATGCACAGAGCTAAGGCATTTGGTGCTTTCCAGCAGACCCAACTAATATACTTACTAAAGAGTGTTTATTTTCAGAACAGTTGTAATGATATGTCCCTTTCTTAATTAATATACAAGGCAGTTATTTTTTAAAGGAAACTTTGCAACTATTTAGAGCAGTACCTGTTCAAGTTCTTGTTTCTGAGCCTGTAACTGATCTTGTTGTTTCTGTAGCTCTTCTCTCTTTTTCTGAAGTTCTAATGCCTGCTTCTGCAGTTCATCTTCTTGTTGGGAAATATGAATTTCAAATTCCTTCAGATCTTCTTCAGTGAAGACCTGCTGTTGGTCCAACGTCTTAAGAACAACAAAACCAAATCTTAAACCCCTCAAAGAAGATTCAAAAGTCAAAGAAGCAATCAAGTATTGTACATGGAGTCACACAGTCAAATGTGCATGCACCATGCAGTATGTTTGATGACAATGTGGTTCGAATAAACACTGGCTTATCAGGAGAGGAAAGAGCAACATTTCTTAAAACTGTCTTCCTGCTTGTCATGCATATACAATGGGCATTCCTGGGCAATAATATTAATGCTTGAGATCGCCTCACTGGTTGGATGAGGAAGGTCTCTAGTCCAGAGTATCATATAGTAGGCTTAGCTTTCCTTACAGATAAATCTACTTCTAGCAAAAGACACTGTCCTTGAGGGTCTTCGCTAATGGAGAAACAGCTTCTCCAAAACAGATCTGACAGCTCTGATCATCTGTTCGAAAGTGTACACTGCAGAAACAGTATGCACAGAACTTTGGGTACTGGGTGTGTTTTTTCCCATCTTTCTGCATGTACAAGTTAGGTCCCAAAACCATGGGCACCTGTTCCTGCATGTGGAAAACTAATCCTGCAATTACATTCAAAATGTATGGGGGGAAATGGCATAAACTTCCATTTAAGGAATGTTGCAGGAAAAATTCTGTGCTTGTTCTCATTATATTCCTGCACAAACCCTATGATTATTGCACTAGTTTGATTAGGCACAGGGTCCTCAATGTTCAGATTTTATTCAAATAAAGTCACTAATCACAATACACAGGTAATTACAAGAAAGGAAATGGGGTGAGAATCAAAAGTTCTAGAGAGATGAGCTACTTGCTGTTTGGGTCACAGCTGTGTTATGTCCTATGTCATTAATTACCTCCCAGCTTTCCGGCTCCAAAAACTCTTTTTTCTCTGTAGCTCTTATGAACTCATCCAAAGTCACTAACCGGTCCTTGTTAATATCAACCTTTTAAAAGAAATGAAAGCAGGTATGCACAATTATACAGAACTGAACTTGTACTTGCTATTTAACATCCACATGAAATCACTGGGGGAGGTTATCCGGAGGCACGGGCTGAGGTGTCACCAATGTGCAGATGCTATTTGGCTCTACCTCCCCTTTTCATCCAACCCAGGTGAGGCAGTGGTCATTCTAAATCAGTGCCTGAGCACAGTAATAAACTGGATGAGGCCCAACAAACTGATACTAAATCCAGACAAGACAGAGGTGCTGCTGGTGGTCTCCCCAGTCGTCCATTTGGGTGATATTCAACCTGTTCTGAATGAGGTTCCACTCTCCCTAAAGGACAAGGTTTATAGTTGGGGGTGCTTCTGGATCTAGAACTGTTGCTAGAGTCAAAAGTGGACTCAGTGACACGGAGCACCTTTTATCAGCTTAGATTGATATATCAACCATGACCCTATCTGGACAGACAGAGCCAAGCTATAGTAATCCATGCTCTGGTAACCTCTCATTTGGGTTACTGCACTGTGCTGTACGTGGGGCTGCCTTTGAAAACAGTCCTGAAACTTCAACGGATCCAAAATAGAGCAGCAAGGCTGTAAATGGGGACCACATTATTCCAGTTCTCTTTCAGCTGCGCTGGCTCCCAGCTGAAGTCTGTGCCCCGTGGTAATATTCACATTTAAAGTCCTAAACAGCTTGGGGCCAGGTTGGAACCCAAGGAACACATCATTCCTTATGTACCTACCCAAACCCTAAGATTATCTTCCAGGATCCTTCTCCAGGAGCTCCCTCCAAAAGAAGTAAAGAAGGTGACCACCAGGAGAAGGGCCTTTTCTGTTGTGGTGCCCTGGCTCTGGAATGAGCTCCTTAAAGAGTGGTGTGCCTGGCACCTACTCTCTACTCTTTTTAGTGCCAAGTGGAACCCTTCTTATTTTCCCAGTATTTTAACATTAACTTTTAATCTTAGTTTTTATACTGTATTTTTGTGTTGGTTATACCTTTGTACCGAATTGATTGCAGCTGCTATCATTTTATTGTTTTATATGTGCTTCTCTTTGTTTATATGTTTTTAACTTTTGTTAACTGCCCAGAAAGCCTTTGGCTATTGGGTGGTATGATAGATAGATAGATAACTTGGACTGGCATATTTTCATGTGGCAGAAAAAGGATTATACAAATTCCTACTACCTTCTGAGAAATATAGCCTTGAACTCCAAAAGCACTCCTTCCACACATTTCTGAAGGGAAAATGACAACTTACAATGAACCCTCATTTTGGCCACATGTATTTTTAAAAGCATCATCTATGGCATAATCCAATACATTTTAATTTACTAATAATTCCCACTAAGTTCAAAAGGGTTCACTTCTAGCCAAATGTGCACATTATTATAAAGTTACTAATCATGACAAGTATTCAAATGCTTGGTCAGGATTCCTGTTGGAAATGTTCTAAAATATGTTCCAAAATGCTATACAATGCCGAGCAGCTGAGCTCAATAACAGTATTACCTAAAGCCAAAGTAGTTTCATCACAAGTGATGCTGTCACTAGTCTTTCAGAAGTGGGTGACCCTCCTCCTAAACCTATATTTAGGACTAAGTATCATTATAATAATCACCACCACAAACCTAAGAATCTTGAGCTCCCACCAGAAGCTTCAAGGAACATAGAACAGGCGTGTGGTGACTCCCATAATGGTAGTGATTTACATGGTTAAATAGTCCTAAATAAGCCTGATGGTGGCTTTGGAACTGCTCACCACAAGATGTTTTGGTTAACTTCATTGTGGGGAGCATAACATATTCTCTCATCTATCTTCAAAACAAGCCTATTGGAAAATTTGCCGGGAAAGGGAGACTTCTCCTTTTTAAAGTAGTAGAAAATAAATAATGGCAATTCCCCCACCCACTAGCCTAAATATAGTCCTCATCAGGAAATTGGAAACCTAGTCTGAATTCACACAACTCTCCTTTTCCTATTATTCTTTGTGTCACATATGTTACTCATTACATTATTCTAGCAGGTAGCCATCAAAAGGAAGTGTTTAATGTTTAAAGAAAGCTGTCCAGATAGCATAATTGGAGATTTACCACTTTGAAGTATGTAGCTTTTTCTATAAAAGTTTTCAGACAAGCATTTCCAGAAAAAAAATTTGCTGGCTTTGAAATAGTAATTATTTTACTCCTGAAATGTATACTGACACATTTGTATCCTACATGTTCAAATGGAACACATTTGGGTATTTAAATTTTACTGAGTGTCTGGTTCATACAATAGGCATAACAGGAGGAATTCAGACTGTTTTTTACAAGCCCTGTTATTCCCTTTTCCTTCCGGGCATGCATGCATTTGGTGCTTGCTATGGCAATGTAGTAGGACACTCCAACTAACAGAAACTGTGTACCTTCCAT